CAACATTAGACAGAATCACAAATGATGTTTTCCTTTACTTTAATTGGCACAAAAATTAAGTGAGAATGGAAAATATGTTACATGCAGTATTATAATTTAATGCACATTTTGGAATAGTTGGGCATCTGGAAGGACATAAATTACCTTTGAGAATATCTTTCAAATACCTACAAAAGGAAGGCCATATCTTTTTGTGGATTCTGAGAATTACAGCTCTCAAGCAAACGAGAAGCTAGAGAAAAATTGGAACCACTTCAGACAAACAAGAAGGAGAATGTTCAATGTCTGCATTAATGAAAAGTTCTTAAAAATGATGGGCTCTCTTTAAATTAAGCTGAAATATTTAACGGATCATGCTTGAAGAAGACGGTCCAATGTAAAAATAGACTTTAATAGCAATTGCGGTTCTCCTTTTAGAATAAAATATCAAAGCATAACCATTTATTCTGTCTTTTCTTTATTTAAAATCAGCACCTTCCACCTTCCACATCTACTGGTTGGAACCCCTTGTCTATTATAACAAGACTGGACATCGAATGATAGCAATAGGGACTGTGAAACAAGTTAGCAACAGGGGACCATAAATCCCTGTGGCCTACTCCTCCACAACATAATGTGTAATTTGTCAGAATTGAAAGACTTCAGAACGTCTGTTTGCCAAAACTATGATTTCCATGCCCATATTTATTTTATAAGAACACTAAAGTTCCATCTGTAATGCATCATCTCCAACTGTCTTTCTTCAGTTATCGTTTGGTTAGGCTCCAAGATGGAGGAATGCAGATTATTTATGATACACATTTATTTCTGTCTTACGTCTTTTATTTATGCACAGGGTTTTTTGTGATAACAGCATTCTTCAATGCCTGCTGGGCAGGGTCTGAACAGAGGGAACATGATATGATATGATGAAAAGCTTGCCTTGGTTCTGGTCTCACAACTATAAACCAGCGTGAGTAATCAGGATCATCTATAACTTTCTCCTCACTCAGTGGAACAGTGCACAGGACTAATACAAAACGTCTGTGGACTTTTGTTTGTGTGCATAGTAATGCCAACCATTTTTAATTGTCTAATCTGTTGTCCGTGAGATAATTCCTGTCTGTGAATACTATAATATAATTTTTAAATGCACACACTTACAGATTTTAAAAGTGTTTTCCCACTATAGGACTAATAAAGATTTCTTGAGATTTTCAAAGTAAAATTGTGTGATGTAAAAAATGATGTGACTATTCTTGTGGAATAGCAATTGTTCATTCAGACGAGATATCATGGTCAAGGTTTGCTGATTTCATTGCAACATGATTTAACACAGGACTGTCCTTGCATTTTCTTTTTATTTCAATTCTTGGTATCACGCTACAAGAAACTCTACCTGTTGGTGATTTATGAGAGTTGAGATTTTGGCTACCACCTAGGTGAAAAAATAACAACTTGTATGTTGGAGATGACCAGTCCAGATCCTCTAATATCATTGTACTGCCTTCAAATATTTCCTTTTCAAGTATACTGGAGAGAAAAATAGAGCTTCAAAGGCAATGGGTTTTGGAAATAAATTCCCTGTGTGGATGGGAACTCAACTTCAAGTACATGCTAATGTTGCCCTGGGTCTGCTGGTGGGTTTGTTTTATCAATAACGTGTTATATATAGATTATCTTCTTGTGGTAAAAAGATTAAATTTATTTAGGAGAAGTCATTGTCAAACAGTTTACCTTGGATTTATAATGGGCTTAATTGAGTCTACAATTTAAATAATAATAGGCCTCCTACTCGTTACAAATCATAGTATGGAATTATACAAAATGCAAAAATAAATACATTTAAATGTTCAATATGTCAACAGTCTATATTTACATTTTGGTTTCCTGTATAAAGAGCACAAACAGAGAAGACTGGCCCTCCTGCTATGTTTAAATAACTAACAGCGAAGACCAGTTCCATTGTTTATTTAATCACCCTTCTTCGCTGGACGACTTTCATTTTTATAGAATTTGCGATTCCTCTGAGCGGAAAACAACCCAGTCAGCAAAGCATGTCATTTTATTACTCAGAGGGTGAGCGAGACACCCTCAAGAGCAAACACGGCTCGGTTTTGGGTTTGAGTGAGTGTGCCTCAGGAGGTGTGCTGTAACACACAACCCTCAGCAGCACGACAGACGAAGAAAAGCAAATGAGTACTTTCTCCCTTTTCTCCGTGTTGATAGAAGAGCCTCGATATGTTCCCGTTCTTTCACAGCAGGGGGGAGGTGTATGTACTTCTGTGTGTGTGTGTGTGCCTCTAGTTTCCCTGCAGTGCCCCGTTGTTCCCCAGTGAGCCACTGGCAGCAGCGCTACTTTGCTCTGTGACTATAAGCACAAATTTACATTGCTAATTTACAACAACATCCTCATGCTTAAGGATAAGCACGCTGCCTGACCATAAGGGATGGAGACGACTTGAGAAGGACCAAATGTGTGTTTCTACCTGTGTGTTTGTGTTATGCTGTGTGTGGGAGTAAATAAACACTTCTGCTATATTAGATGTGCTACAGAATGTGTGTCTCTACAACCAAAAGATTTGCATTTCAAATTATTTCGAGGGAATGCTAAACTCTTAAGTCAGTGAGAAGGCTATTCAAATGTGTAATTGGTGTAATGCTAATTTAATCCCTCTCTCTCTCATGGACAGGTGCAGAGTCACAGAGAGCCTGGCAACACGAGAGCAAAGTACTCACAGAAAAAGGTACTAGCCCCGCACACACAAACGCAGACACTCTGCTACATGTAGAGACACATTAATGAACATCCATGTTCTTCCCTCTGGCTATTGTGTAATGTTCAATTTAATGCTCTAATGTTTCATAATGACTGCTTTATGTGCACAAGCTTATTGTGCATCTATCAACCTGAAGCACATCTAATCAGACAATTAGCCCTCATCTTGGGCCTAATATCCATGTTTGTATTCATCACCTTATCTGGTTTTCTAAAAGGAACACAAATACATTGTCACTTCTCTAACACACACACTCCTTAAACTGCCTTTCACGTACAAACTGGAGATTCTCCTGGTCAGACACGTTCACAAGATCAGGAACATTCAGTGGAGGGGTGGTGTCTGGGTAGAGCATGAAAGAGGCAAGAAAAGATGCGTTAAATCTGCTGCGGGAAGCAAAGTGATATTGTTTACAATGCATCAACACTGGCGTCAGCGCTTATCACCCAAACCCTCTCAAATCTCAATGCCTTTTAATGTTGAAGTCTTCATCTGCATTTTCTACGTGTGTGCCTCCTCTTTTCCTCCCTGAAATATTTGTATTCCTCCAGTTTCATGTCCGACGTGTGTTATAAACATCATCAACAAGCCCACTCGCCCGTTGTGAAAAAGATTTTTTTAGTTTCCCATGCAACCAATTGATAATTTTAATCAACCAACATACTCTGCTTGACTACAGCCCTGTTTTGAATTGCAGGAAGTTTGGAGTAAATGTTTCGTGCTGGGTGTTAATAGCTGCGTGTCACTGTTTGTATAATGTGGTGTGTGGGAGTAGTAAACATTGCTACCCTGTTAGAGCTGCTCTGAAAGCATGTGAGTCATCAAAATTAACACTGGCACAAAATAAAGGAACCATTTCCACCTGCTCAGACCACCTGCTATCAGAATCACGCATGCAAAGAAGAAGAACACTAAACCCTCTGTCATCTTGATATACATTTTACATTCACTGTACGTTCACTCTATCGCACATAAAATAAAATAAAACTGCTGTAATTAGGAGAGACTGTCCTGGGTTCGATAACTTTAATGGGTTATTCATGTTCCAGCATTAGCATCGATACGTGCATTTCATCTGCACTCACTGATTTGGGAATATGCAGCACTGCTCTGCCTAATTACACATGGGTTAAACAGATTGGGTATCTTCATCTGTTAATTAAATTTTCAGCCCTGGGATCTGAAAAAATAGGTGCATGACCCCGCTGTGCTTATTTACACCCCAGACTGGTGAGATATCTGTCACAGATTTCAGTATAGAGTGTATATTGAGGTGTCCTCAATATCCCAAACCCCCCAAACATCATTTTCTCTGGATAATGAAAGTAAAGCTTTTAGTTGTATCAACAGGATTATTGTGAGGAGCTCTCAGTTAATGCTCCATGACCACTGCTTATTACAGCCTTTGCAGAGGGGACATTATTGTATGCATATTAATGACTACATTTAATGCAACCTTCACCAAGTTCAAAAAATGTCCACAGATAATACAAAAAAAAAATATATGCAGGTTATTGCAGTGTATTGTAATATTGTAATTGTAATAGTGAAATGAATTGATGATGTGAGATGCTCTACATTATTCATTTTTATGAGCTGTTCCATTGCATCCAACCCACGATCCTCTGTACTCGTGAATCATTAGATGTGAGTTGTACGTGGACATTTGAGCTGGTTTGTCTGCTTCATATCGTATGGTTTTCTCTTGAATATGAGGTCAACACCAGAAACGACATCGTCATTCTGTGCTGCGGTGTCTCTGCAAAAATATGGCACATTTATTATCCGCAGAGGAGACTTTAGTCTTGGAGCGAACAAAGGATGCTGTTGTGGGACAAAGTATCTTCATCATCTTAATGGAATACTCAGAGCCTGTTGATAGCAGCAGCAGAGCAAGAGAGAGAGAGAGAGAAAGGGGAATTGCAAAGACGTAGAGTAATAATTGAGATAAACAGAGAAAACAAAATTGAGGAAGTGATATTGACTGCCAGTTTGTCACTGTTGTTGTTCTAATTCCATTGCTTCCACTGATTCAATTGTTGTGTTGCCCCTGCAGTCATTAAAAATGAGAAGGCCAGCCCTCTGCAGCACTAGTCACAGTTTGGCATCTATCAACCTACTTAACATTATGTGGTCAAGCATGTAAAAGATGTTGTGTTGAACTAGCCCGCATTAATGACATGAGAATATGGCTCCAGATGAAACACCACCTCACGTCTCTCGTGTGACATCATGAGGAAGCAGGTGCAAATGTTTAAAAATTAAACATGTTTGATACTTATTGGAGTGGCCCCAATGATTCTGCTGTGGTTAAAGAGTGGCCCCTCAGATAATCTGGGCTCAACACCGGTACCGACCAAGGTTCTAGAAGAGATTTATTTAAATCTGTGTTAAATCAGCCTGAAGTTCCTGTAGTCTGAGGGCCAGCCTAAGCTTTTCTGATTGATCTTAGCTTCTGGCTAATAGCAGAATGAACGCATCTGTAGTAAAATAACAAAAATATTGTAACAGGTTATTGGATAAGAAGCTGAATGTCAGGAGCATAAGAAGGCAAAACACAAATACTGAGTGAGTACCAAAAGCAGGGCAGAGGAAGAATCAGCTTTTAGGTGCAGGTGAGTGACAACAGTAGAAGCCTTCAAGCTTATGTTTCTAATGGGGATTATGGTCCGTTTGCCTGTGTCAATTCTGATTATAGCAGCGGTGCCAGTAGACAGTGTTGCATCCAGAAGGAAAGCAGACACACACACACACACACACACACACACACACACTGCTTATTCCAAAGAGGAGTGTTCAACACATGCAGTGTTCTCACATCAATGCATCTGGTCAGACATCAGAAGTATGTAAATCCAACACAGAGATGGATTCAGTGCTTAGAGAAGAGTGCAGCTACAATGTCAGTGTGTAAATCTGACAGAGACTTTACTGTCACACATAGTCAATCAAACTGCTACGTTGTGGCAGCAGTGTTAGAGTGTAGTGTGGTGCTTCGTCACTACAGGGAGAAAACATTGTGAATAACACAGAAAATGATATGCAACACAACTCCACAGAAGACTATAAACTTCAATACAAGGACAGACGCACCCTGGAGAGCTACTTAAAAATCTCTAATCTAAAAGAATTTCACATTCCACTGAAAACAGTTGTATTAACCATGTTCATCTGAGGAGTTAGAGTAGAAGGATGTTTCTGATGTTTGCGTTTGAGACAGCTTTTGGGATATGATGGATCATGCATCTTGTTTCGACTGTTTTGTTTTGATTTTTAAATCTTATTCGTTATTACACATTTTTTCTGTTCAGATGAGCTAAAAGATAATCTGTGAATTATGCTGAAAAATCTTATCCTGTTGCATTCCGTTTTAACAGATTTTGATTGATCCTGTGGCAGCAAAATAACCTGCTATGTACAAATTAAACACTGAAAAATAATATGCACCTTTAAGTATTTCCTTATACATGCAAACAGTCGAGGGAAAAAAAAAATCAATGAGAATAGGTGGCTGCATGTGAAAGGATATTTATTGGCTATGGGAGTTTAAAGAGACTTTTAAAAGCTCCAACTGAAAATACAGACATGAGCAAATATAAGTTAGACAGTATACATTAGTTTAGGAGATACTAAATGATCCCTTAATGAAGCAGACCTGTTGTCCGATATAAATCAGGATTACTCAGAAACTACTCAACAGATATCCATGAAATACCAGTTTTGCAGGAAGGCGATCGGGTGGACCTAGTTTTCTTCTCGTTTTTTAAACTTTAAAAATGTGTCTGGAAATGTAGCAAAAAAAATGTTGAAATGTAACATTTCCTTTCAAACATAGCAGCACCTGCATTGGAGTCTCCCTGTCCACTTAAGCTTTGTTCCCCAGGTGACAATACAACCAAACCATCCACTTTTTCTACAAACAAGTTCCACTCCAAGAGCTGTCTTATAATCACTTGGAAAAAATAACTTTTTCAATAGACATTGCTTTTTATTTATAGCTGTTCCCTTACTGTTGAGATTTAATTCCATCTCTACTTTTGCTCGGTTCAGACGTTAGCTCCAGAAAACTGTCAGAGTAGTCTGTCACTGTGACAGGCTCTCTGCTAATGAACTGGACCTTTGTATCTCCACCTCACCAGGCTATTCCTGGAGCTGATAGCATCGCAGCCTGATGTCTCGGTACAGAGATGCAACTGAGATAACCCATTCAATCTGACCTCACCTCCCTCTGTACTAGAATCTTTGTCAATTCGCCCCTGTGCTAGCTCCATCAATACTGGATGTTTAACAGTACGACCCAACCTCTTAAACATGAGCTTTCCTGTAAAATATTTATTGTGCTGCCTGAGTTATTTTCTCTAGTGTGTTTATGTCCAGGTTTCATGAATACTGTCTTTACTAGTATTGTAGCTTTCAGTATATGTGAACAAACTGGCACTACTCTTTTTCAGTGTCTTTAAAATTAGAAACAATATACTTGTACAGAATAAGTTCTGGAAAAGTCTGAAAATAAATTTAGAAAGTTTACAAAAACCTCAGAAAAGTCAAAGTCAGATTGAACAATGCAGAGATGACGATGAACACAGATGACAAGAACACTTCCCTTTGTATAGGTTGTACAATTCTCATCGCAGGGAACATGTAGCTTTTAAACACAACCAAAAGAAAACATCTAAATTACATTGCAATCACAACCACAATAAACCCATCACAGACATCACATCATCATTCACTACCTTCAACTAACTTTTAATAAGAGTTTGACTTGATCTCATTAGACAAGTGTTTCAAAGAGCCCTGATGGAGAAAGCTTAATAGTCCGTAGTCGTCTGTCTGGACTCTAAAATGACCAGAGCAGTGCTGCCTGGGGATTTCTCACTGTGCTTGAGCTCATAGGGGCTTAAAAGCTCAAATACAGCTCGGCGTTAGTCCAAAATGAGTCTTAAAGGTAATGAATAACATTTCTA